TCCCAGACGATGGCACAATACTTCATCTGGCATGATACTCGTATTTTGATGCAAATACACACGTTCGATACACACGGATGGAACTTCGGCTAGGAGAGCACGGCGCACAGCATTTGCGAAAGAGCAATCCACATTGATCATATCGAACTCAAACGTGTCTTCCATTGAGATGATTACTATGGAAAATTGCTGCCGAAACAACTCTGCGTTCCAGGGTGCATCCATTGCCGGATGAGAAATAATTCCATGCTCTTTTAATTCGTACATTGCTGACGACACGGCCATGTTTAGTTCAAGGTAACTCTTCTCAATCTGGAATCCTATAAATAAAAATCACGCGTTACTCAGAAGTAATCTCGGTTTATTCAGAAGCGGAAAATTGTGAGTACATTTCCGAGGTAAATATATTTCAATCTGACAAAACAGGCAATTTTGACTGCATAATGTACGCTGATAGAAAACCTCTCATAAAGAAGGATACGCAACTTAAATCCGAACCGATTACAAGATGGGCATGGATCCTGATCGGCCGTCAAAAAGTGTGACAGACTCAGAATGAATTTCACTACACTGCGAGCTGGTATCTAGAAAACAACTCCAGTTAAAGGGGTGCAAAAACGAAAAGCACCACTGGATACAGTTTTAGTTCAGTTCTTACAACCATTGACCATTAACCATACACTTTCGTGCACCGGTTTTGGTTGCCCATTTGGATAAGACCGCAGAATGACCATTAGAATGTTGAGAACAGGTAGCAATTTTCATAGACTGAAGTTACAAGAATAATGAGTAGATGCATGAGCGCCACTGTTTGCGACACCCAACCATATCGCTCAGTGTCTCTAACCATCGGTGATCATGATCTCGGAGTCCCCATCCAGGGAGCCTAACGGGTTCATGTTAGCCAGTCTCCTGGTCAGGGTTTTCATAATCTCATGCCAGGTCTTAGTTAGACTGCCCTTGATTTTTTTTTCAACCGCTACCTGCCTCGGCAAACATCGCTGTTACAAGTCTGATAAAGTTTCTCAACGGGATTTCATTATTCT